ATATCTGCTAGATCAACAACTAATTTGGATACCAATCTATATATATATATCAACATGATTTCTCGATTTCATCACTTAAACTAAGAAGTCTAATATTCTTGTCAAGGTGGAATAGTTTAGGTGTGAGTCTACCATGACACTAACTTGTATAACTAGGTCCCCTATGGAATTGGTTTGTTGACTATCCACCAAATACTTTGTCTTTCTAGTACTTAGTTAGGGATTTTGGTCCCCCCAACCTTGTACATTCCTTAGTTGGTCACTTTATACATGTATGTCTCAGCCTTGACCTCATGAATCAACATTGGTCACTTGTAATCAGTATAACTCAACTTGACCCTTATATTGTGGTCACTTATAATCGATATGCCTTAACTTGACCCACATACCATATCAACTAAGGTCCTAAAGGAGACTCAACCATTCACTTCAAGAATCAACTACTTAAGAAGGGTTTTCAACAACTGGGCTCATAGAGCACCACAACAATATTCTCATAGTGGGATATCCAACTTTCTAAAGCACCCTATCCTTTAGTCTAAAGTCAATCAATACAACACACCCTCATGCCTTAATGCCTAAAAAATTCTTAACATCATCTCCTTGAAGTTTCAATAATATAATCATCTATATATATTATTCCAAATTAATGTATATAGAACCAACATCATTTATCAACATTCAACTCATCAACAATTTAATCTTCAATATACAATATTACAAATCAATGTATATTGAACTTACAACATACATCAACATATAATATGTAATAAATTCAACTAACTTGCACATGTTCACTTTCTCAATCAAACAATAAATTTTCACAAGGAAATCCATGTCTAGCTCCATCCTATCGACACCTAGCATCATTAGGGCAGATAACTCTCGGGTTTGCGTACAGTCGGTATAATGACTTGTCAGGTTCCTACACTTAATGGTTCATAACTAGCAATGAAAAACAAACACAACTAAATTATCTAGGGTTCACATACTTACGAAACCTGAATATACATGTCATAATATATATAAGGTCACCTCAACATACTTCAAACCACTCAAAAACTCGCCAACACACGAATTTCATCACTTAATCATCAACACAACCACGATTTGGATGTAATTCAACAACATACAACAACAAAATCAACCAACATTTAGGTTCTAATTCCCCTTATCTCAGAGTTGAAGAGAATCAGGAAAAAGAAGAAGAAAAAAGAATTGAACTTCGAGCTAACACCAACGCTCCTCACCAAAACCTCAAAAATCTGATTCAAAGCTCTTTCCAAGCTTGAATCTCATTACTAAAGGCTTCACCCAGCTCCGAGGAAATATTAGAGATCGTCTGTTAAATTAGAAGGAAGTATAGTCACTTTTGCTTCCAGAGTTCATCTCTCTAAACTATCTCTCTACTTTTCTCAAGAAATAAACTTATAAAACTCAATCTTAAAAAAAAATTATATATAATATTTCCCTCAGGTCAAATTAGATCTATGTCTAGAAAAACTCTCTAACACCTGAAACTCACCAAAATTTCTTAATTCTCAAAATTTATCAACAATTAACAATCACCACACTTATCATTATTAATAAAAATGACAATAATTAATAAATATGTACATTGCTACAAGATCATCAAATTCAATATTTAAATTTTTACCACATTCACTAAAATCCACCTAGTAATAGAATTTTTTTTAATAAATACATAAAAACTTACCTAAATTCAATCTTCATTTTTGGCATTATAATTTTTTTACCACATCAATCTCATTTTAACCATTTAGATAATATTCAAAGAGTTTAATATCTTCTTTTTATTTACCCACTTTTAAAAGGAAAAAAAAAATCCATTTTTGTTTATCACTCGATTTAAAATTTGAACGCAACAATTTAGGAGTATTAAAAAAGAATTGAGCTGAAATGAATTAGTTGAAAAATAATGGAGTTATAAAAATATAACTAATTTTTTTATATATAAAAAACTGAACTATTTCTATAAAAAAATCTAAATTCAACTGAAATTGATTATAAAAGTTCAACTATTTTTATGAAGGGTGAAAAAAAACACTCTGCTGTTAATTTTTCTTTTGTTTATTATTCAAAAAAATAGTTTATTTTGATTCAAAATATAATTTAGTTTGAATTTTTAAACAATAGTTCACTGAACTAAAAGGATAGTTCAATTCGGTTTACCTAAACCAATGTCTTTCTAAATCAATTTAGTTCTTAAATAGATCAGTTCAGTCCAATACTTATAAACATCTCTTAGTGGAATATTATTTTAAATTATATTTTTTTTTATAAACCACATTTATCTTTTATCTAAAGCAATTCTAAAATTATATCAATTTTTATTAAAATTATATTTATGTTTTACCTAATATTTAAATATTTTTTAAAACATTGTCATAAAATGAGAGAAAAATAAGAAAGAACATGAATTATGTTAGGAAGTTAATTAAATTTTTTTTGGGTACATCCTTGGAGTATCCACTGATAGGAGTGACTAATATCTTCGCTACGTTGGAGGCACGTCAAAGAATGAGATAATTGTCCCCAAGATTTAACGCGGCTGCATACAGCAGGCAGGATTCGAAACCCTGACCTTACTTAAACATGGATTAACCCTTATTGTTGAACCACACGCTTAAGGTTAGGAAGTTAATTAATATAAACATATATTAATAATATTTCCTATAACTCGCTTGCTATCATTTGAAATAGACATATATATATATATATATATATATATATAT